TAAGGGAGGGATGGACCGTCCCTGCTACAGTTGTCCAATGTTCAGACATTTTTCCAAAAGGGAAGATTCTCTGCTGAGACTTAGCAGTGTGGGAGCTTAGATAAGAAGGCAACAGGCTCTACTTTCAGGGCTGCCTGGGGGTCCTCTCTTTCCATGCCTCCAAGTCCCCAGACAACATGATTTAGGTGTCTTCTTTGCCCTTTTAAGGTCACTATTACCTGACTAGTTACTGAGCAGTGGTGAGGAAGGGAATGTGGGTTCAAGATATGTGATTAACACAAAACATACTTTTAGATGGAGGAATAAATGGCAACCCACTCCAGTATTCTTGTCTGGAGAATACCCATGGACAGAGGAGCCTGGCGGGCTGCAGTCCATTGGGTCACAAGAGTTGGACACAACTGAGTGACTAAGCACACCCACACATACTTTTAGAAATAATTTTTAGAATTTTAAGCACGCTTACTATATAGCTGCTTTTGGATTGTTCTGGATTGTTTTGGATTATTGTTATCTCTAATTCTTGGGGAATATTAATTATTCTGCTTATAACTTCTACTAACTCTCCCTCATAATAGTCTGTATTTATATGAGGTCTGTCATTTGATGTAGTGAGCTCATCTTTAGTGGTGGACTTGTTTCTGTGGGAGTCACATGAAGATTTGCCCTTGTCCTGCTGGGGTTTCTGAGTTGGTTACTATCCTGGACAAACTTGTATGTAAGTTCTTCGCTGGGAGTTCCTGCCACATGGTGTACATTTGGACTCAGGGTGAGGCTTGGGGCTTCCACTTCTCATAGAGACATTATATTGCCCTCATTTTCTTCCATGGGCCCTGGGGATGACTTTGCGGTTTCCCTTTCATAGACAGTGTTGTCCTGCTTTGTTCCTGACTTTATTCAGGGGAATACTCAGTTCTAGTTGCTGCTTCTCTGGGGCCCAAGATCATGTTTTCTGTCTGGTGTGTTACATCCCCAGCCTCCCCCGGTTAGGGTCTGCCTCCAATGTGGCCTCTCACACATTGCTCTGGGTTTGAATCTCCCTCTGTTTCTGATAGCAGAGGGTGAGGTTTGGTTGTGTATTAGCAATTCTCATTGTTATTTATCCAGCTGTGTTTTGGTGAGTTTAACCTGCCTTGTTTCTGGACATCGATCGCATTCATCTGTTACCCCCTGGGACTTAAAAGAGGGTGGGGAGAACTTCACTGGCATAAAGCTCCCTAGTGCGCAGCAGTGAGGCTCACCAGAGGCTGTGAAGCCCACTCACTCCGTGCAGCAGCTCTGGGGCCCAGTGTATCCCTTGAGTTCTAGAGAGAACATGGAGAATCTCCGTACAAGCCCTGACTTCCTCCCACACCATCTTGCTCCACTGGGGCTCCCGGGCAGGGAACCTGCTCTCATTATCAGGGTGGATCTTCACCAGGCAAGGTGAAGATCTAAATGCTCAGAAGCATCTCCAAGTGACTTTGGGAATCCTGAAACTAGTATTCATCTTACTCTCGCAGATCAACATCACTGCCAAGGTCCCTTCACCCTCTTCTGCAGCTGCAGACCTGGCCAGGCACGCGACAAGAGGAGTCACAGTGAGGAGGTCATGGGAAACAGAGGCTCTTTTCTACCAGTGATGGGAGACGTGGAGGCATCAGCACAGTCAGAACGAGTCCTCACTGAAAAGGCCCTGACTCAAAGGCCCCTGGGACCACTGAGGGGTTGATGGCAGCCTCGCTCTGAGGTTCTTTGAAAGGGTAAGAAGGTCGTAGAAGGTTGCCACAGCCAGGAAACCTGAGGAAGCTTGGGGCTAGAGTGCCCCCCACCCACTCCCTCATCCAGTTGGCCCCCTTTGCCTTATCACTTAGGAGAGACTCGGCTCTGTTCCAGACCAGCAGCCTAGAGCAGTGGGCTGGAGAGAAGAGGTGCTGCTGAGCTGGAGCAGCCCAGCGGCGGAAGGGAAAGTGGGTGATAAATTTAAATAACCAGCTTGACTTGGCAGCTTGCTGAGTTGTGATGCAGTGAAATTAAAATCTCGGCAGAACTTGCAAACACTACCCAGAAAAATCCGTCTCTCTCTCTGGTTCCATGATGGAAGGTGGGGAGGGGAGGCATTCGGGCCAAGCCCCAGCCTCCAGCAGCCACCCTTGCTTGCAATGTGATTAGCTGTGTCCTGGCCCACTGGGCTCCACTCTCCCCTCCAAACAATAGTCCAGGTTCCTCTCTCTTCTCAGTCCTGACCTTGTGGAACAGCTGCATCAAGTGGCTGGTGAAGTTTGAAATCAGCCTCTGGTGCCAGAAGGTGGCAGGAATATCAATAAGGTCGGCTTGTTGGGTTGGGCTAGGACTTCCTGAGCTGTTTCTTTAGGACTCGAAGAGGTTTACAGCCTCAGCTGCCTGTCTCCTGGGAGGAAGGTGAGCTGGGGGTTTAGTTTAGGATATGGGAGGTGAAGAGGGCTCCTCAAACACCTGAGCATATTCAAACTGGACTGTGGCCACAGGATGCCCTCTCACCTGGAGCACACACCTGGCCAGAATCACCTGCTGGAAAGCTCCAGCCCTTTCCTCCCCCACCAAAGCCCTTCATACTCTCCAACCAAATAAAACCATAAAGAATCTTAGGGGGGAATTTTTTCAAATACACTAAAAGCCAATCCTGTATCCGAGCTGTTCTTGGAACCCAGTTCAAGATACCAACATCCTTCTAGAAAAACTCACCCAAAATCCACCTCTCTGATGTCTGCTCTCTTTATATCACTACTCACTGCTACCCACAAACTCCTGGCCTAAAGGCCAACTTGCTGGACCCAACTCCTGAGATGGTCCAGGAAACCTCTGGGCACTGCACTGTTCCTCACCTTGACAGTACCTCCAGCAAATTCTGTTCATCCTCATAATAAACACATCATGAATCATTCATCTTTAATAGATTATGCAAATTAGGAGGACATAAAATCAACAAAGATCAATAACTGCAGACGTTTAATTGCCAGCAAAAACATTTTAAGAATGAGCATAATCTGTAGCCCTTTCTTGGGTAATGGCACCATTAATCCAAACCTTGGATCTTGGCCTAAGTGTAGAAAAATCATTCCCTGCCCCCTTACCCCCTCCCATCGCCCCTCCCCCACTTCTCCGCACACTTCTCTCTTTTTGGTAATTTCCAGTTTCTGAGCGAGTTTACCCGTCATTACCACTGGTGAACAGCTCCGAATGTTAATGGTTCTGCTTTTGTTACTCCTCGCTTGATTGAAATGTCGCATACAGATTGAGATGTTAGTGCTAACTTGCCACCTGGGAATGTCAAGCTGGGTCTGAAATGAACTTTTCTCACACTTGGATCCAGATGGATCAGCCGGAGATGTTCCCAGGCTGAGCTGGGACCGTTCCAGGGCCATGGGGGGGAGGCGGGTGGGGGATGCTCAAGGTGGAGGCACTTTTCTGTACTAGCCTGAGTTCTCCTGCTGTAGGAACCCTGCCCCAGAGATCCTTCTCTCCACTCCAGGAAGCCTCTACCTTCTGGATGGTGGCCCTGGGCCCCGGGAAGCATAGCCGGGGTTGGAGAAGTCTTCTGGCCTCTGATTTGCTGCTGCCTTGGGGTGGGCCACCTTTGGGAAGTGACCACTGTAACTCTCAGCAGATCAGAAGAAACGTGACCCAGCCTAGGCCATTGCTCTTCCTTGGGTTGGAACGCCTACAGCTCAGAGAGCTTCTGTACTGGGTGATGGAGTGTCTCCTGCTGAGGGCCAATGGGTCCTGTGCTGTGTCCTGACCCAGCTTTTGGTTGTCACTCCCAAAAGCCTGTCCAGAACTCAAACTCTGACTGCCTAGGCTAAGAGTTCAACTCTGTCCAGGCCGGAAACAGTGAGACTAGGACACCCCTTAGGGAGAATCTGCAAAAGCGAACAACAGGGCTCTCCCAAGCTCCCCAGGTGAAAGACGGTGGCTGCTTGCAGCCCATCTCAGACCTGAGCCGTGTTCAGAACAGCTCCAAGTTGAAACCTGTCCTCCAGTGAGGCCAAGGCCGCTCCCTGTCTCTGCTGCTGGCTGCTTACAGCTGGGCTTCTAGGTCCCCAGGCCACCTCCACGCGCCTTGCTCGGCAGGTAATGCCTCAGCATCTCTCAATCCCCACTGAGACCCTTCTCAGTCATTCTCTCTTCCAAGGAACAAACGGCACATTGGCTTTATTGTCTCCAGAATAATTAGGTGAATTTTAATAACACCTCGATGTGTGTCCCTCCCACCTGGGCACTTTCCTGGCCCGGAAACGCTTTTCTACAGTGCCAGCCTGCAGCTCGGAGGCCAGGAGTGTCATCAGCTGGGCCCTCCACTGCGCCGCACCTCAGCCTTCTTCCCCTCTAGCTGCCTCTGCTGCTCTTCATCCACCTGGATTAGGTGCCCTGCCCCCTGCATCGAGGGACAGGACCCTGTCTGGCCTTGAAATCAAGGCTTGGTCTCAGTGATGTCTCTGAGAAGCTGGAGAAGGGCTGAACTAATTGAGCTTATCTATTACCACAGAACCGGATGCCATGCCCTGAAGTCCAAAGCCACAGCTTTGGCACTCCCGGGCTGCCCAGAGGAGAGGGACACAGGTCCTCCAGGGGACTTGGGAGTGTGGAGGCTCAACATTGGGCACTCAGGCTCCATTCTTGCTGGCCTGGCTTATTTACTCTCCTTCTCCCATTCACATCCTAGCGAGAGGCTCATAATTCTCACCACCTTGGTAGAGGCAAGAAAAAAAGGCAAAGAAAGAGGCTACAGGATGGGCAGAAAGAACCAGCTATAACGCCTCCTGGTTTTGACTTTTCCAGGCTGTGGCACACAGAGACTCTGCCCATGATGTTTTCTCCCACATCTGTACACATCTGTTGAGGAAGCGCCCTGGCTTTTGGAGACTCGCTCTTTCTACAGAGATCATGGCAGGGAGCCCACTTGTCACACTGGGCCCCAGATGGCATAGGCTGAGGCGCCCCCACTGAAAGCAGTTTCCCCACCCTCCTGAAAACCCCCTTACCGGTCACAACAGGGTATGTCTGCGTGCCTGACACGTTGCTGCCCAGCTCAGGGTTGGTGGATGCAGATAGACTCGACTTGACTTCATCAAGCCCAGGGGTCAGGGCTGGGAGGGAGTACTCATTCCCCTGGGAGAAGAGAGAAAAGAGACAGCTCGCTATTGATGCACACATGCGGAGAGAGGCCTCGGTGTGCAGATGGGGAGGAGGGACAGGGAGCCCTCCCAGATGGGGTGGAAGGAGCTGGCCAGGCAGAGGGCGGGGAGGGTGGGAGGGGTGGGCTCAAGGGATGATGCAGAGTTGTGTGTGGGGGGAGGCAGACCTGACTCTGGGAAGTTGAGGGGCAGCCCGTCCATTCTCAGTGGGTATCCAAGCACCCTTGACCTCTCTGTAGCATCTCCTGCTTAAGAAGCCCCCAAGGGCAAGGTGTAGCAGTGGGAATCCCCCTGGTAAGAGGCCAGGGGTGTTTTCAGATGCCCAGGGGTAGGGAGTCTCAGGGAGGAGAGATGAACACTGAAGCGATGGCAGAGGCAGGAGCTGGGGGAAGGGCCTAGTGGGGCCTCCAGCCTGGTACTGCTGGGCCGCTGATCGGGTGCTGGCGCCCCTTTTTAAAAAACAAACAAAGACAGCCTCACGGGCCCCTCACTCTCTGCCTGTGCACTGGGGTATGAAATTGGGGAGGGGGAGAGTCCACATGGCTAACAGAAGGGTGGGAGGGGGCCAGTCATTGACTCTGAAAGGGTGTCCTGCCTGAAACACTCCGGTAATTGCCTTTTTATTGCAGCCACCGCCAAGCCAGACCCCAGAGCTGGGCCGACCAGGAGCCCGCACAAAGCAGGAAAAGTTGCTCTGATTAATATTACGTTAAATTAAAACTGATTTTCTGCGCTTTCGGGTCTGTTTTTTTCTCTTCCGCTTCCTGGCCCCCCCCAGAGGACCCCCCCACTCCTTGGCTGGACAGGATTGCCTCGTCATTTCCAATTCCTTCTCGTATTGATCTTCCTGTAGAAATCAGTTTTGTAATTAGCTGCAAATTAGGCCTTCTACTGGGGGTGAAGCTGCCCCCTGATTTATCACCAGAGTAATTCGCTGTGATCGGAGAGAAATTAAAATGAACTCAATTAGGCTTCGGATTTGCTTTATGGGCCCTGCTCCGAGTTTCAGGGGGAAAAATGACTGTGCTGGTGTTTAATAGTCTAATGAAAGTAAATAAAGGTTATTCATTGTAATACAGCCGGGGACTCGGGGAGGGTGCACCAAGCCGCCCGCCTCGGCCGGCTCCTCCTTTGTTGGTTTATGGCTCAGGGCACCTTAAAAAGACTTTTGATTTTTGTTTTATGAAGACAAACAGCTTATGGGATAAAAGGACGGGCGGGGAGAAAGGCGAATGGCTGGGAGCTGTTGGAGTCCCGAGTAGAACTGTGCTGTGCAGAGTCTGTGCGGCTGTGCTGGTGCATTGTGAGCGGGTGTGAGCTGAGTGTGCAAACATGGCAGGCTGTGTTGTGCTGGCTGTGGGCCTGGCCCGGGCCGTAGTGTGGGGAGAATGTGTGTGCGCTCCTGTGTCAGAGCATGCACATGCAGCGGGGGTGGGGGGCTATCCTGTCTTCTGGGTGGAGGCGGGCATGGAGGGGTGCTGAGTTGGTGGTCTGGGGGAGGGCACACCAACAGGCTGATGGGCTACGCGGGGGAAGGGGTGGGGAGGAAGCAGGTGGGTGCTGGATGTCTGTGAACACATGCAACCGGGTAAATGTCAGGAGTCAGGAGGTGTGTTCTGTATATTGTGTTGGGGTGTTCTGGGTTGTTCTGCATCTGTGGGAAGTACTGGGTCTGAGGGGTGGGCTGTCAGCCTGCCTGGGGTCATGATGGACAGCCGGGTGAAGGAGCAGGAGGCAGGCACTGGGCTCTCCTCCTGACATCTCCTGGAGCAAGAAGAGCATCCAGGCTTCCTCAGACTTTCTGTAGGACCCTGGGGGCATTTAGGCAAGGGGTGTTCCTGAGTATCCTATGCCAGGAGCACATGATGTCAGGGCTGGAAGTGACCTGTCAGGTCTTCTGTCCCAGACCTTCATTATACAGACAGGGAAACTGAGGATGGGGCTGAAACTGAAAGGGGGTAAGACTCACCTATGGCCATACTTGCACCCGGAACTCACCATTTCTAACTGCCACATACCATGATGATTTTCTCAGCTTTGTCATAATGTCCTTATGTGAGGGTGCTTACAGGGCGCACACGCATGGCATACCTACAGGCAGCACACGTGATGCTGGGTGTGCACCTGGCTGACCTGTGTGCACGATCTCCAGAAGCCTTGCTCTGCCCAGTCCCTCTCCCTTCTCCAAGCAGGCAGCTCCTTCCTCACCTGCTCTGATTTGATGTGCTCTGATGCCTGGAAGACGTCAGGGTAGGAAGGACGCTCAAAGACCCGATCCAAAGCTTCCAGCTGCTGCTGGGTGAAGGTGTCAGCCCGCAAGTGCTTCCGCAAACTGTCCACGCCACTCTGGGAGTCTCCATTGGGGACTGAGCCCTCGGACACATCTGGAGGACACAGGGATACTCGGGGCATGAGCACAGGTGAGCAGAGGCCCGGAGCGAAGCAGTGGGCAAAGGGGATGGGCACTTGGCTGGGCGCCCTGGGCTCTGCACCCCTTCTAGTACCCCTACACCCAGTTTTGAGGCTTGAGGGGCTGACCCAGAGGCTGGCCATGCCTCAGAGTCCTGACTGAGAGAGCCAGCACCCCTGAACGACCTGGGAAGACAAAGGGATGTTGTCACAGCTGGGGGTGGGGGTGGGGAGGACTAGGCAGAGGTGGGGGAGCCAGAGGGGCTCTTGGGCACCGTCTCCTCAGGATGTCTCCCCTGGACCCCTCCTGTTCCTCAGCCCTGGGTCAGCCTGGGGGGAGGAGCTGGATATCTAAGGCCAGCATTACTGAGCCTGTGGAGAATTGAACTTGGCTCTGAGATGAATTTCAGTTCCACAGACTCCAAGGGTGGAAAATCATCAAATCTCCGAGGCTGAGTGTAACACAGAGACTGGGTGAAGTAATTAACTTCACCACCGAGGGAGGAGGGGCTCGGGGCCCAGCGGAGGCTCTCTTTCTAGGTCGGCCCGGCCTGAGGTTGGAGCAGGAGGAAGGCAGGTGACCCAGGAGCCAGAAAATGCGACTTGGGCAGAGATTGAAGCCCGGGTCCTTGCAGATGCTGTGTGTACTCTGAGGCAACCCCCCTCAGCCTCTGTCCTTGACCTGAACTCTGGCTAAACTCTGCCAGAGGCCTGCTCCTTGGCCACTTGGTTCCTCTCGCCATCTCCACAGGGAGCTGAGACTCACCCCGGGTCTGGAATACCAGGACAGTACCAGAGCGCCCACTCCCTGGGGCTGCGGGCCAGTCCCATCTGTGTGCTGCTTTCCCTGGGCCTCCCACCACTCGGCTCCCCCTGCCTCCCTGGCCCTGCCCTTTCCATCTGGCCCGCAGGGGTTTTCAGAGTGCACAGTGGGCCAAGCACCCGCTCTGCCCACATTCCCTGAACTGCTGCCCCGCCACTCCCTGGGCCCAAAGCTGGGTCCTCGCAGTCACCGCTTGGCCACTCCTTGGCTTCCTTCAGTCTGAAACCAGCTGGGGAGTCTTGGACCTGGGGCCAGCCATGCTGGAGGCCCCAGGGTGTTCCTCTGGGACTGTTATATATATCAGTTTATAGGTGATTATATGATATGATATAATCAATATTGCATTATATACAGTAACACCATACAGTATCATTCAGGAGACCATAGAAAATATTACATATTGATTAACCTCAACCTGCAGCCATCGTCTCTTGCTGGTCTCCCAGATGGAGCAAGGGGGTCTGCTTTCCTAGTGGGACTTCCTGTCTTCACTCCATCCTGGAGGGGGTGGGAAAGCAAAGAAAGTGTGTGTGTGTGTGTGTGTGTGTGTGTGTGTGTGTGTGTGTGAAAGAGACAGAAATGGAGACCAGGATGATGTCTGAGGTGGAGAGACAGACACAGGGACAGCATGAATGATATTTTTATGTTCCCTATGTTCCTAAGGCCACAAAACTTGCGTTTTTTCTGTGTAAGCCTCTGGAATGATTTTCTGTCTTAGAGGGAGTGTGTGCTTTTCTCTATATGCATTAGGTGGTGACATATTTATTTTCCCCTTTTGTGTATCTTCTGTGTATATGCATGCATTTATACACATATACACATCCAGATAAATGTCTGGGTATGTATAAGTGACAGCACAAGAACCTTCTGGAAAAGGTGTGTGTGTGCTGGTGTGACTGCACAGGAAACGTGAACCCACATCCCTATGTTTCTCCTGCACCTGCTTCTCTTTCAAGGACGTGCCATCATCCTAAGGCCATCCCTTGGAGCTATTAATATTTGCATGTGTCACTGTGTCTAATCTTCTGTTGCTGGAGTCCTACCTTTTTGGGAAGCCTTTCTGTCTGGGCAGAGAGAAACAATGAGTGTCTTTGTGTGTGGTTACCCCAGTGTCACCAGTGGGTCCTGGGGAGTCAAGTGCATTTGTCTGTGAACACAGCCTCACACGCTATGTGCATGGGTGTGCGCTATGTGCAGTGAGACTCATACTTTGCCTCTGTGTAGATTTGTGTATATGCCTGTGTGTGGCTTGGCTCAGCCCGTGTGTGTGGTGTGTGTGTGTGTGTGTGTGTGTGTGTGTGTAGGGGCTGAACTGAAGCTTTGTCCTTAGGTCACTGGCTGGAGGAGTCTCTTTTCCTTCATTTATTCAGGGGCCCTTCAGATCTTGACAAATCTGTCACTCTAAATTTGCGAGAGATTATGGTGCTCTCTCCCCAGCCCGCAGAGAGGTGATATATGATATCTGCTGCCCCTATTGATTGCCTGATCTGGTGGCAGAGGCCGGCGAAATGAACTTGAAATGAACATCATGCCTCAACTCATTGTGCGTATAATACACTACTTAATCCCACATTTTTCAGCCGCTATGGAATTCAATTGATCAATCATGTTCCACTGATAGTACTGTTTTAGGGGTTATTGCTGCTCCCTCCACTCACTGACCTTTTTATTTATTTATTTTTTTTTGTATACTCAGGCCCTGGTGATAAGACAGGTTACAGAGGCAGCCATGGAAAGGGGAGGGAGGGAAAGGTGAAAGGAAGGCTGCTCCTGGAAGAGGTGGCGGGGAGACGGGGAATGGGGAGAAGGGGAGAGGGAAGGGGGGTGGGGTGGGGAAGAGACAGAAGGTGCCAGAAGGGCAGAAAAGCAAACCAGGGTGGTGGAGGCATGAGGCTACCAAAGGCTTGAGGAGGCCCCCCCAAAGGAGAAGGAAGGTGATAGGGAGTGGGGAAGGCAGCAGTTGTGATGAATGGCGAAGGAGCACAAATAAAGTTGTAGGGAACAGGGTGGAGAGTCGCAGGGCCAGGGAGAAGACAGTAGCGTTACTGGTCGGGGACAGGGCAGCAGTGCCCCCCCAGACCAGCCAGTGGGCCCACAGGCTCTCACAGGCTCTCCCCAGAGGCCAGGGTGGCACCCTTCCCTCGGCTAGAGAAGGCAGGAGGAGCGAAGGCAGGAGGAAGGGTGGAGAAGGGAGGCAGGCAAGGAGGCCTGGACTCAGAGGTCCAAGGAGGAGGAAGCTCAGGGAAGGAGGAAAGCCAGAGGCAGAGACAGGGCAGAAAGAAAGAGAGGAAGAAAGGGAAGAAGCTTCCCACACCAGATGCCTAGAGAAGCACAGGCCGTGCTGAGGGCATTTGCCCACTTGCCGTAGGAATGAGCCCAGCTGGCTCTGCTTTCCTGGAAGCCTGGGGATCCAGAGGAGGAGCAGAGTGCAGGACCTGGGTGGGGGTGGGGCTGGAGGGTAGAGAGCAGAGGAGGGAAGAAGAAGAGAGTAGAGGAAGAGCAGAAACCATGGAAGAAGAGAGCTGAAAAGGAAGAGAACATGAAGCCGTTGCCAGTGCCTCCCACTGGTCGGGGTGCATCCTCAGGACATGGAGAAAGAGGGCCCGGGTGGGTCTTCCCAAAGGTGGAGTCTCAGAGGTGGCATCGGGGGAGGAATGGGGCTGGGCTAGGAGACACTGCCAGGCCCAGGCACTGGAGAGCTCTCTGGGGCGAACGTGGAGGAAGAGGCAGAAGCAAGTCTTGATCTGGGCTGAAGAGCGAGCAAGAAGGAAAGTAATTAGATAGCATCCACCATGCCAAGGAGCCAGGCTGGGAGCTCCCCATGGGCAGGAACCATGACTAGTGCATCTCTATAGCTCCAGTGCCAGGCACGGCGCTGGGTACAGAGTTGGTACTCAATGAATGAATGAATGAGGCTCTCCTGGGTAACAGTCAAAGCCGGACCCCTGGCAGAAGGTCTCTGAACCAGCCACCTGGCTGACTTGGCATCCCAGGACATCCAGTCACTTGTCAGACAAGTCCCATGCAGCTCCAGGTGTCAGAGGATGTGGGAAACTCACAACAGGCCCTTGCATAGACTCACACACATTCTGCGTCCGCTCCACTGCTTGTTAACTTCCAATAGCATCAACTCTGGTCCATGGAGGCCCTTCCCACTCACACCAACACCTTCCTGCCTACAGTACTTCTGCCCAAGAGACAGAGCACACTGTGTCCCCAGTTAAGAGTGAAACTTGATCTCAGAGCTACAGATGCCATCTAAGGCAGCTGGCAGAGGCTGCTTGAGAACAGGGCCCAGAGACGGCCCTTACGTTGGACTCCCCACACCACAGCTCTGGTCACAAGGTGTGGGATAAAGTGGGTCTACCTGCTTATTTCTGGTTCTAGGGAAGTCTTTCCCTAAATGACACAGTGGGCCCTCAGCCTTCACCTTGATGGGAAAACCAGCCCAAGCCTTGTCAGGGCTCCAAGAGGAGGGCAGGAGTATGATGCCACATGTCCTGAGCTTTCTGGAGCAATTCTGATTTCCAATATCTTTTCCTACTCTCAGGCCCCACTTTCAGATTGAGGTTGGAAAATGTGGTTGCTGAAGGTTTAGTAACCTTGCCCCATCCCCCGAGGGGACACCCTGTACTTGTTGGTCTCAGTATGTGGAGGGTTCAGTCCTGTTCTGCTGTCCCTGCTCAGTCACCATCCATGAGCAGCTCACAGCACTGAGAGATTGTTCCATTTAACCCTCCATCTAATTCTCCCAATAACCTGCGAGGTAGATGATGTGATACCTCTTTTAAAGATAAGAATGGGACTTCTCTGGCAGTCCAGTGGTTAAGAATCCATCTGCCAATGCAGAGGACACGAGTTCGAGCCCCGGTCCAGGAAGATGCCACTTGCCGCAGGGAGACTAAGCCTGTGAGCCACAACTACTGAGCCTGCACTCTAGCATTGGTGCTCAGCAACAAGAGAAGCCACGTCAATGAGAAGTCTGCACACCACAATCAGAGAAAGCCTGTAAGCAGCAGCAACAAAGACCCAGCACAGCCAAAAATAAAAACATTTTTTAAAAAAGGAAACAGAGGCAGAGAGGTTAAGTGGCTTATCCAAGGCCATGCAGCTGGTAAATGAGTTCGGATTTGAATTCGGGTCTGTTTGAAC